AGTTTATTAGCACCTGAAACACCTTTCGGGTCCATTATCATCGTGACTGATCCTAAATGTATTGATTCAGACCTGATGCTGTTGCAAAACATATGATTGCTGTCAGTACCAATCTTGAGGTACTTCTGGAGCTTTTATTTTTCGATTCAAATTTCACTTGATCTAATCTATTTTCTGCATTCTAAATTACGTCACATTTGGATTATAAATTGTGTTGAACTTGCATCGTTGACATGTTCAGCTATTATGCTTTCATACTACAAATGTAGTGTTATTCATCAATGTACTGTTTATCGTAATATGATGAAATTTCATCTATACATTTTTCTTGTTTTGAAGCTTGTGGAGAAGTTTGGAATTGACCCGAAAAATGCTTTTGCATTTTGGGACTGGGTTGGTGGCCGCTATAGTGGTGAGAATTTTTTCAATTAAAAAATATGCATACCTTATGTTTGTTTGTAACTTTAATCTTATGTTGCAGTTTGCAGTGCTGTTGGTGTCCTGCCCTTATCTCTTCAGTATGGCTTTCCGATTGTTCAGAAGTATGCTATCTATTCATAAATGTCTACTTTTTTTAATTACAAATAGATAATACAATACCGTTAGGAGTTCAAATTTGCAGCATAGGATCAATTTCATTACTATAAAATAATTTGTTGTTTTCTTTGGCTCTCTTGTGTTTGCAATACACATATTATGCTAGAGTCTTTGAAAAACAATGGCACTGTGGCACTAAACAATGATATACTAGAAACAGAAAAGCTTATAGCATGATAATAATACTGCAGACTTATCTTACCGATAGGTGAGTGCTAATAACTATACCTATTTTCAAGTTCTAGGAAAAGATTTTGTTAAATCAGGATACCCTTTTGCATTGTTTCATACTTCATATACGTATCACTGGTCGCCTTGACACAGAAATATAAGACCTGGGGTCCCTTTTTGTCCAGCAGAATGTATCTTCTGGTCCTTGTGGTACTGTGGAAATTATGTAGGATGTGGTCATAATGAGGATACTGATGTACGGTGTGAAATTTCTTGTTTCTATGGAAAGTAAAATCCGATGATATGATGATTAAATTATGCTGGAATTCTTTAATAAGTTTTTCGCTTGGTCAAGTTGGAGGGCCTTGAGGCTAAAATTCGATGATAGATGGTGCTCTATTAATAATTCTTTTCTTTTGAAGATTTTTGGAGGGTGCAGCCAGCATCGACAAACACTTTCGTTCATCTTCATTTGAGAAAAATATTCCTGTAAGTGGCTTTTCTATTGTGTTTACTGTTGCCAACCACCCTTATAACAGGCTCTTATCATTTATGGGTAGGTACTCCTTGGTTTGCTGAGTGTGTGGAATGTTTCATTTCTCGGATATCCAGCTAGAGTAAGAAATTCTGTCCCATTGGATCGTATTTTCAATTACGAATTGACCCATGCCTTCATTTGGGTGCTATCTCTAATATAAATGTTTTTTTTTCTAGGCAATACTGCCCTATTCCCAAGCACTTGAGAAATTTGCACCGCATATTCAGCAGGTTCTTCACTAGCTTCCTTTTTCCCAGTTCCATTATTGCATTCTCGTCCGGTTATTTCTAAGTCATAACATGTGCTCATTATGGTGTAAAGCTTAGCATGGAGAGTAATGGAAAGGGTGTCTCCATTGATGGTGTTCAACTGCCCTTTGAGAGTGGTGAAATTGATTTTGGTGAACCTGGAACCAATGGGCAACACAGCTTCTATCAATTAATCCATCAGGTAATGATTGGTACATCTAGCATGTTATGATCTAGGACTTACTTGACTAGCATCTAAGGTATGCAAAGCTTGACAATGCCATGGTGCTTAGAGTTGATGATATTTTGCTAGCGTACAGCATTTCTTTTTCTCTTTGCTGATTTGTGATATGCTCCATTTATTATGCCATCGTCCTTTTGCATCAATATGTTTATACTTTTATGAATGGATTATGCAAATTGCGACCATGCTACCTTGTACATTTATCTTGTCTTGTTCTTGATTTCTTCTATAGCTCTATGCGATATCAGCACTGTGTTTTTCAGTCTGCGTTGTCATTCTTTCAACAAAATATTTTAAGTTATCTCAGTAACACTGACTTCTTAGTTCTTACCTTTCTAAGTATCTAATAATGCAAAAGGAAAAGAAGAATTAGTTAGGAAACTTATTTGTGAATATCCATCTTTGTTTTTTATGAAAGAAAAAACATCTTTGTTGATAATACTTGTGCCTAAACTTCCAGGGAAGAGTTATTCCTTGTGATTTTATCGGTGTCGTAAAAAGCCAGCAACCTGTTTACTTGAAAGGTGTTGTACATGATCCTTTTTTTCTTTCAAACCTTAATATGTTGCATGTTGACCTTGTGATTATTCAACTGCATGTTGAACACCTATGTTGTGCGTATTTTTTTAGGGGAAATTGTGAGCAATCATGACGAATTGATGTCCAATTTCTTTGCTCAGCCTGATGCGCTTGCTTATGGAAAGGTAAATGATGTATTTCGGATATACTCACTTTCCATGAGCTGTTTCTTTTTGTTGTTTCTGACAGCAGTTCACTGGATATTTCCAGACTCCTGAACAACTGCATAGCGAGAAAGTACCTGAACATCTTATCCCTCATAAGGTAATAATAATTCACTCATTCCTTGTCTAGTTTTCCCAAGACATTATGCTTTCAGCTATAGATGTAGCTTCTGACAGTGCTTTCTTGGTCCTTTCTTGTTACAGACTTTTCAGGGCAACCGACCATCGCTTAGTTTATTGCTGCCCTCATTATCTGCTTATGAGATTGGACAGGTATGCAAATGCATTCGGACACTTGTTTAGAGTTGCAAGTTTAGTCCTGAACCATATCAATTCTTTTCACCAATAGGATTCTGATCTTGTTTAGAGTTGTGCCGTGGCTCTCTTACCTCTATGGAGGTAAAGATGGAGTGCCCTAAAATGGCTCATATATATAATGCATTTTCTCTTCTTCATGAGGAAAGCCTGACCATCAGCGTCGAAAAAAGGAAAGCCTGACCAGCATATTCCATTTTTCTCAAGAAAAAACATGACTACGCCGGTTTCTTGCTATGTTTAATACCAAATCAACTGTTTTTTATGTAAAAAAAGGGGGGAAATTGAGATGAATTGACGTGCAGGACAGTGGGCAAGCTACTTTGCTTGTTAGACCTATGATAGTAAAGCTTGTGTGCAGCTGCCCCCTCCACTGCAGCATGTGAGCAGAGAAATAAAATTGTGCTGCTTCATCATTTTCCTTTCTTGATTGTAATCATATGGCACAACATTTGTTAGAATATAGTTTTTTCTTTTTTACATGATGCAATCCTTTGAGTTATAATTTACATGATCTGGACCAGCTATTAAATCCATGCACATCCTTTTTCATTCATGTCTTCTTTGGAAGAGTATTTGGTTGACTCCAAATTACCAGGAATAATACTTGGTTTACTATAAATTGCATTATTGTTTTCTACAGACGTACTAAGCACTAGCAAATTCTACTTTTCAGCTTTTAGCCATCTACGAGCACCGGATTGCAGTCCAGGGTTTCCTATGGGGAATAAACTCATTTGACCAGTGGGGAGTGGAACTGGGCAAGGTTAGTGCTTGAATATTTATACATATATTTCCATTTTGTTTGAAGGTCTAGTTTTTGGCTTCAATTCTAGCATGTGTGACTCTCAACTTTCCCCAGGCATATGTTTGTCTTATTTTCTTCATCTGAAGACTGAACTGTGTTGTCTGTATTTTTTTTTCGTGTCAGTCTCTTGCCTCTCAAGTGAGAAAATCTCTACATGCATCCCGCGTTGAAGGAAAGCCTGTCCTGGGGTTTAACAGCAGTACTACAAGTTTGCTGACACGATATCTTGCTGTACGTTCTTTGATAGTTCATCATAATTTATTATCCATGTTATATAATTAAATTTAGTTTCCTAAGTGTTCTTGACAGCTCATACCCTAGAACTGAGGGATTTATGTTGTAATTTAATCTGTTTTGTAGGTTGAGCCATCCACTCCTTACAACACTACCACACTGCCGAAAGTTTGACACGACACGTTTGGCACGCTATTGTCTTGAGTTAAACAAGATTACTAGAGTCTTCATATCTTGTAATAAGTTTAAGTTCGTTTTGGAGTTGTTACAGGCTTACAGCCAGTTCTACAGTACTGTAGTTTCGTTGTTTTCCTTTACTCCGACCTCCAGGAAACGAAATGGAAAAGAAAAAAAAAGGAAACTGTTGTTGAATAAATAAATCAAGTCGTGTCAGCATGAGGAAGCTGTCATTAAATAAATTAGGTGAAACCCCGCGCATTGCTGCGAGAATTTAGTATGAAGATATACATTAAAACATTATGTAAATTATGTTGGATGATAATTTAATATGTTTGTGTTTGAAAAGCTCTTAAATTATAAAAACTATAAAGATATAGCATGTTTGCATGATGTTTAAATGTGATGATTGTTAGTGGATGATGATGTGACATCTTTGCATGAAGATATACATTGAAATATTATGTGAATTATGTTGGATGATAATTTAACATGTTTGTATTTGAAAAGCTCTTAAATTATAAACACTATAAAGATATAGCATGTTTGCATGATGTTTAAATGTAATGATTGTTAGTGGATGATGATGTGACATCTTGTTAATTAGTGGATGATGATGTGGCATCTTGTTAGTGGATGATGATGTAGCATCTTTGTATGTTAAGTTTAAGGAGTTCGTAGAGGATAACTTTTATAGTAAGATAGGATACTACTACTGTTTGGCTTGAAAAGCTGTTTGTGTGTTTACACATTTTGGTTGGGAGAAATTTTACAGTTTTGGAGAGTAACCAAATTTTAAACTGGTACCTTCTCGATGACCGTATTATCTGTGTATGCTGCCACTTACACTTATTTTGCTACTGCTATATTCAGGCGAATGTCTCGAGAATTTGACAATCACACACTGTCAGTCATTTGAACAACCTGAAACAAAATTCAGTTCTGTATTCTGTTAGCCCTTCACTAGGGCTGAGTTTAGTTCTAAAATTTTTCTTCAAACTTTCAACTTTTCCATCACATCAAAATTTTACTACACACACAAACTTCTAACTTTTCTGTCACATCGTTCTAATTTCTACCAAACTTTTAATTTTGACGTGAACTAAACACACCCTAGATTTTGTTTCTCATTCAAAATCTGCAAGCAGATTTATCGATTCTTTCATTTAATGGAACAATCAAACCATTTCCTCCTCTTTCTATATCCAACAATATTTCCAATAAAAATTGGGCACACTTTGTGTTAGTTGACTTCCCACACCACACATGGCCACCCCAAGTGATACCCAGCAACTCAGAAGCTGCTGCTACCTGCTCACCCGGTGCGGAGGCTGCTTCCACTCCGCGCTCATCTCGCCGGAGAAAGACACATCGTCTCGCCGGCCGGACTCCAGCCTCGCCGCCGTCGCCTCCTGAATGATCCGGTCCATGTCGAACGTGTACGACCCGGAAGCCTCGCTGATGCTGCCCCCGGTCTCCGCCGTGCCGAACACCATGCTCTGCCCCGGCCGCATCCCCTCGTTCAGGTCCTCCAGCGACATGTCCCCCTCCAGCGCCCTCACGATCTGCACCGATTTTCATCTCCGGTGAGCCCTGCACGGCTGGCGGCGGCGCCGCCGGCGCCGGAGACGATGGTCATGACACATGGCATTGACATACCTGGCTCATCTTGGGGCGCTTCTTCGCCGAGTGGCGGACGGACGCGGCGGCGCTGGCGACGACGCGCGCCATCTCCACCGCGTCGTAGCTGCCCTCCAGCCTCGGGTCGGCGACGCCGCCGTAGTCGCCGTCGGCCAGCGCGCGCGCCATGGCCGGCCGCGCCCACTCGACGAGGCTGTCGTCCTCCATGAAGGAGGCGGGCCAGGGGTGGTCGGCGGCGCCGGCGTCGATGGGCCGCCGCCCCGTCACGAGCTCCAGCAGCATCACGCCGTAGGAGAACACGTCCGACTTCTCCGTCAGCTTCCCGCTCGACGCGTACTCCGGCGCCAGGTACCCGAACGTCCCCATCACGCGCGTCGACACGTGCGTGTTGTTGTCTGACGTCAGCTTCGCCAGCCCGAAATCCGCCACCTGAAATGACACAAACCATCAGATAATCGGATGCCGCAATTTGAAATGCAGCAATTTTTTTTTAAAAGAAAGGAAAATCTGCAGCAATTTGAAATGTTACCTTTGCTTCGAAGTTGTTGTCGAGGAGGATGTTGGCGGATTTGATGTCGCGGTGGATGATCCGAGGATGGCCTTCATGGTCAAAATGGCAAATGCAATTTCAATTCAGATATGAAAAATCGTAGACATTTTTAAACATCAAATTTATTGGAGCAATGGTGCTCACAGTCTTCGTGTAGGTAGGCGAGCCCCTTCGCCGACCCGAGCGCAATGCGCAGCCTCGTCGGCCATGGCATCACCGGCAAGCCTTTCCCTGAACCAACAAGAATTGGATGTTTCTTGATCTTGCGGCGAGGTGAGGGAGGCAGCAATGGCGTGGTAAGCTAGAGTGATCGAGTGACTGACCATGGAGGTGGAACTCGAGGGTCTTGTTTGGGACGAACTCGTAGACGAGCACGCGGCGCGCGCCGGCGATGCAGTAGCCGACGAGGGAGACGAGGTGGCGGTGGTGCACCCGGCTGATGATGTCCACCTCGGCCTGGAACTCGCGCTCCCCCTGGCCGCTGCCGGACTTGAGCTGCTTCACGGCCACCGCCTTGCCGCCGGCGAGCACCCCCTTGTGCACGTACCCGAACCCGCCCTGCCCGACCAGGTTCTCCTCCGCGAAGCCCCCCGTCGCCGCCGCGAGCTGCTCGTAGGTGAACGTCCCCTTGCTCATCCCCGCCGCGTCGCTCGTCGACGGCGCCGCGCGGGGCTCGGCCAGCCATGGCGGCGGTGGCGGCGGCTTCGGCCCGCTGGTGTCGCGGCCGCCGCCGCCTTTGGATCCCGAGGTGTCCGCGTCGAAATGCGTGACGGGGTTGTGAGGCTTCTTCTTCCTCTTCCTCCTCGGCGCCGTCTTCCTCGAGCAGCAGAGGCAGGCGGCGACGAGGAGCACGAGGAGCGCGGCGGCCCCGACGGCGGCGAAGACGATCTCGACCATGGCGTTGTACCCGCCGCGGCGCGCGGAGGCGAGCGCCGACCTGGCGACGTCCTCCGAGCCGGAGCCGCCACCGGAGGAGCGAGACGGCGGGGAGGGGACCCTGGCCGGCGACGGCGGGGGTGCGCCGCCGCCGCCGCCATGTGGATTCGACGGCGCCGGTGGAGGCGAGACGGATGGCGCCGGGGAGGAGGACGAGGACGAATTGGTGGGCGACGGCGAAGCGGCCATAAGAGGAGGGCTGCTCTTCGGCGGCGGGACGATCGACATGGCCGCGCGATCACAAATCCGTCTCGCCGGGCGTCGATATCGTGCTCCGCCGCACCGCCATAGGCTCACCGGCGAGGAGGAGGAGGAGGAAGGGAGGGGTAGGTACTCAGGCGGCCGCGTTGCTGGGTGGCGGTGGCGGCGCGCGGCGCTGTCGTTTCCATGCGGCCGCCATTGGGGGGGGGGGGGGGGGGGAGTGTCTCTGGTTGGTGTTTGGTTACCTCATCCGCACTGATCAGCCCGTGACTTTGACTTGTGAGGCTGCCATCGCAGGAATGCCACCGTGGACATCCCAATACCTCTCCCTCCGTAAATCGTACTACTAGTGGAGTATCTCGCATGCCATGGCGTAAATATTTCGCACGTGATGGAATGCTCAGCCTCAGCTCCATGCTTGTTACTTACTACTCTCTCCATCATAGTTATATTTTATCTTGGCACACAGAACAAGAATAAGTAATTCTACTTATCATCCATTTAAACATACTACTAGTCATTCCTCGTAAACAAGCGATTCATTGATATTTATCATCCATTTAAACATACTACTAGTCATTCCTCGTAAACAAGCGATTCATTGATATTTACGTTTCTTGATACCTATGTAGCCAATCTTGTGTGGAAGAATGGAAAGTTATGCATTAAATCCGAGAAAGTCATTAAGATGATAGGTTGTTGAAGTGAAATATGCCTATCAAAAATAAAATTTTCAGATTTGAAAATATGACTATCAAAAGTAGATGGAGGGAGTAACTTTTTTTTAGGTTGTTTTCAATATTTTTAATGAAAATATTAGGAGCTCTCTAGGATTGTTTTTAAATACTTCTTTCTATTAATGAAAATTAGGAGAAGATCAAGATTACTTACTATTTTGTTAGAGAAACTAGAGGATTGCCCCCGCGCAGTTTCTCTTAGCTCCTATTTTTTGAGACTTTAGATTTAAAAAGACGCAAATATTAAGGAATAACCTAACTTTGAATTTAAAAAGATGCGAATATTAGGGAAAGACCTAATATCAAATAATTAAAAGGGGTAAGACTTCGAACCCATATCGTCTAGCCCACCACCTTGTGGAGCTAACCAAAAGACCCGTGGCCGGAAAACCACCTTGTGGATTTCATGTATAACTCTTAAATTATATTTCTATAATCCTTGGATTTTATATACAACTCTTAGTTTCTATTCCTATAATACCGAGATTTCATATACAACTCTCAATTTATATTTCTATAAATATAATTGTATTTTATACAACTATATCAATCAATTTATACCGTTATAATCTCAAATTACAATAGTTCAATGGTTAAGACCTTTTTTTATTTTTCCCCAATTAATGTGGAATTTATAGCCTCCACAAAAACATGGTGCGTGCTATATTAATAATACAATAGATAAGTTAATTTTAAAAGAAGTTAGGTGTATGACTTTCTACTTAAAGTACGGTGTATGACTTTCTACGGATATGTGTTTTTTACATTAATGGACGTTTTGCGGTTGTGTTTTTATCTTTCTTTTTTCTGTTCATTATAAGGTTAAAAAAATTACCTCCATCCCATGAAAAATAATTTTTTAGGATATTAAGGACATATATTAGGAGGATAGACAAATAACCACAATAACTTTATTTAATGAAAACAATACATGCACACATTTCATATATAAACTTAATTAAAAGGAAGGTTGAGACAACGTATTAGAGATGAGATGGAAGAAAGGGAAATTACAAGGAAACATATTTAATGTAATCAATTTGCCAGGTGCTACATTAATAAAAATACAATTTTTATGAGATAAAGATTCAAAGGTAGAAATTAACTTTTAGGACGAAGGAAGGTAGAAATTTAACTTTTATAGGACGGTAGTACTTTATATTGTTGATATCACGATAAAGTCAATCACCCTGATTTGATACTAAGTTATAACATCACGGTATCTACATTTGAAACAATTAAGAAGCCCCTGATTTGATCGAGGAAAGACTCACACCATCGTAAGCGCATGAAAAAAAAATTGAATATGCATTTTGCTATTAGCACAAGTAATAAAGCATATACGGAAAGATGAACCATATATAATCGTAAATCTGATGATCCAATTCCTTAACGACGAGACAATACTACCGAATACAAAATCATAATCATAAACATAATAGTTCAAAACTTCAAATCGACTACTGATATGAAAGTGCTGAAATCCAATTATCCAAACTAATTAAATAACTGCCAATAGTAATACGATTGTTTCGATCGAGCCAATAACTAGCTAGACTAGTAGAAATACGAAGCAAGAAGAAACGAGTAGAGGATCATGCACGAGGAGGAGAACAGGTAGGCTATGGCGAAGTCCGCCATGTCCGCCGCGCTCGGCTCCGAGCCACGCCGTCGCTCCGTGGCCACCTTGGTTCGAGCTTCTGCGGCGGCGTTGGTGGTAGCAGGCGGCGGCTGGGTGCGAGCCTCGAGGGCGGCGGACTGCCCCGAGCCATGGCGGCGATCGGCCGGCGGCGGCTGGGATGGAGCTTCTGCGGCGGTGGCGGCTTTGATGGTGGCGTGGAACGCCTCGGCGCGCCTGCGAGCTTCGTAGGCGGCATGGTGTGATGCTTCTTCCTCCTCCCCGACCTCCCGAATCACCATGCACCTGCTACCGCCGCCGTGCGCCGTGTCCTTCTTCCCGCCGGAGTCGCTCGCCGTTGCTTTCATCGCTGCTGCTGCTGCTGCTGCTGCTGCTGCTGCAGCAGCTGCTGCAGTAAGCACATGGACAGGCTCGTCGTTGATCACCACCACGGACTTGTCGACTTCGCCGGACGTTCTTGCATCGAGCGGCGGCGGAGAAGTCGCCGCCGGTGAAACCATCACTGCGGGGGGAGTCGGTGGCGCGTCGCCAGATTTGCTCTTGTGCTCGTCGATGACCGGTCTGTACCTCCAGGGCAGTCTCGGCGCCCGGGAGGTCCTTCGTCGCGGCGGCGGCGGATTAGTAGCCCTCGATGCAGCCACAACTGCAGGAGTAGGAGGCGATCTGATGCTGCTCTCATGCTCGCCGTCGACTTCGCTCGTAGTCGGCGGCGGCGGCGGAGCGGCTGATACTGTCGTCAATGGTGGCACTTCAACGACGGAGATGACATCAGCGGCCGCGCCGCCGTCGTCGACATGCGACCTGGCCGTGTGGTCGACCACGTCGGTGACATCAACGACGGCGATGCCATCGTCGGTGCTCGTGCTGCCGTCGTCGACGTGCGCCGTGGCCGTGTGGTCGACCACGTCAGTGACTTCAACGACGGCGATGCCATCGTCAGTGCTCGCGCTGCCGTCGTCGACATCGGCCGTGTGCTCGGCCACGTCGGTGACTTCAACGACGGAGTTGTCATCAGTAGCCGCGCCGCCGTCGTCGACATGCGCCATGTCCGCGTTGTCGACCACGTCGGTGACTTCAACGACGGAGATGTCATCAGTGGTCGCGCCGCCGCCATCGACATCCGCCGTGTGCTCGCCCACGTCGGTGACATCAACGACGGAGTCGTCATCAGTAGTCGCGCCGCCGTCGTCAACATGCGCCATGTCCGTGTTGTCGACCACGTCTGTGACTTCAACGACGGAGTTGTCATCAGTGGTCGCGCCGCCATCGTCTACATCCGCCGATTGCTCGGCCACGTCGGTGACATCAACGACGGAGATGTCATCGGTAGTCGCGCCGCCGCCGTCGACGTCCGCCGTGTGCTCGACCACGTCGCCGTCGCAGATCACAACGCCGGCGTTACCGATCTCGCAGCTGGTGTCCTCTTGGCTCGCGGCGTCGATGGAGCGCTCAGTTGTTGCCTCGATCTCCGAAGCTGCCGGCCTCTGCTTGATCTCATCCCCTCCTCCGATCGAGAGCGCCTCGCCATAGGAGTACCTAACCTCCTTCACGAACTTCGGAGGCGCTGGTGGCGCCGCCGCCGCCGCCGCCGCCACGACGGCTCCTAGAGGCCCGTCATAGAATAGCGGCGGTGGCGGCGCGCCGCCATCGACGCCGCCGCCGCCGCCGAAGTGGGAGACGAGGGGGCGTGACCTGGCCATGTAGTTGTAGACATCGGAGGCGGCGGTGTCGATATCGTCGGAGGAGGCGGTGCCGTCGCTGTCGTAGCTGCCGTCGAGGACCACCGCCGCCGTGTTGCTCTCGCCGTCGCTGAGGATGACCCACTCGTCCATGGCGGCGGCTGGCCTCTTCGCCATCTAGGGTTCGTGCCGGCTCTCTTTGCTGCTGATGATCAGGAGAACATGTATAAGCCCTTCACGAGTCCTCTCTTGTTACGTTCCTTGATTCTTGCGTTTAGTTAGCGTAAGTTGCGATCTTATCTACCAAATCCCCTACAAATCGCGCATTTAAACTTGTGCATAACTCTGATTGGGATGTGGGCCACGTTTGGCTGGGCCCAGTTTCAGTGAGTTGGGTTTTTACTGGCGCCGTATTGCCTCGTTGATATCACCGTATGTAAACTATTTTTCTTTCTTTTTAAACGTTATTATTAATATAGTAGTATTACATTGCCAATGATTCTATTTTTGCTTTTTATAAACTTTCATTGCCAAAATAAGACTAGTAAATATAATGGAATATCAACCCCTGTTTTCATCGATTGAATCTCGACCAAATTTATTCCGACTAAACCCAATTGGAGGATTTTGTTCGTACTTACTACATATATACAACTTGAGAAATTTCAAGAAAAAAACAGGCAAATTAGGAGTAACAAACATATACCATCAGTCAATCACGATCGATCATATGATTCATATCATATCGTATATACCATATATAATAAAAGAACATGATAAAATACTATACATTGATATTTGCAGTACTAAACCACAAACTTTATTAGCATCACTCCCTAATAAATCCCTAATTCTAATTCAATGCGCAGATTCGCAGAAGAAGGTACACGACACCAAAGAGCAGGTAGAAGACTGCAAGCGAAACCACCCCGTCTTGGCGTGCGAGCGTATCAGGGAGGAAGGCCGCCGCAGTCGCCGCCGCCGCGTTGCTCGCGCTAACGTCAACGCCAACGGCGAAGCTGGGCGCGGCCGCCATGGCGCGCAGGCTCGTGGCTCCCTGCGACAGCGCCTCCACGTCGTGCGCCGCCAGCCCGCCGGCGGCGGCCCGCATGTACGAATCGATCACGTCGGCCGCCCTCACCATCGCCTCTGCAGCCTGGTCCCGCGCCGCCGCTTGTTGCATCGCCTGCCGGAACTGCGACGGCGTGGACGCCGGCTCGGCCGTCGCCGCCGCGCTATTCTCGCCTGCCATGTCGGCGCTGTTGCCGTGCGCCTCGCCATCGCCGGCGTCGGGAGCAGTGTCGTGGTCGCTCTCACCGGCGTCAGAGGGCTCCTCCCCGTCAACGCCGCTTGCGTCGCCACCGATCTCCTCTCCGAGCTGCGTGGCATCGAACTCGTCTCCGGTGAGCTGATAGAACTCCTCGCCGTCGATGAGCTCCATGCAGCGGCCACAGACGCATACGTGCTCGCACTCCTCGTCGCTGGAGCTTTCAGTTTCATCGTCGTAGAGCGTGTCGCCATAGAAGAAATCCAGGAACTCATCGCTCAAGCCATGGAAGAAATCCATGACCTCATCGTCCAAGACGCTTTCCTCCTCACCAAAGTTTTCATTGTCAATGCCACCATCGGCGAGAACCTGCAGGTACTCCTCGAAGTCGTCGCCGTTAAGGCTTTCGTAGTCGATGTCATCGTAGCCGCCACCGGCGAACTCCTCGGGCTCCTCCTCATCATCACTCTGCTCGTCGGAGACGCTCTCCTCCTCATACAAGCTCTCACTGTCAATGTCGTCGTACTTGCCGCCGTCGATCTCCATGTCAGAGTCGGTGTCGATGTCGTCGTAACTTACAGGGACACCGGTGAACTCCGGCCACTCCTCTTCAGCATAGCTCTGCTCCATGCAGACGCTCTCCTCCTCACCGAAGCTTTCGTTGTCAATGGCGTCGTACTTATTACCACCGTGCTCCTCCTCCTCCTCCTCATCGATCTCCTCGTCACAATCGCTCTCCTCCTCGTCGTCAATCTCCTCGTCAGAATAGCTGTCCTCCTCGTCGTCGCTCTCCTCCTCGTCAGAGCTTCCGGTGTCCACGTATTCATCGTCGAAGATTTCATCGTCCAGGTTCTCCGCGCAGATTATGTCCTCTTCATCAAAGCATTCAGAGCCATCGTCGTCGAGGCTCTCATCATCATCATCATCTAGGTCCTCCTCGTCATGGGAAGATTCAGTGTCATCGTCACCGAACAGGCCACTAGCGAAACCCATGAGCTCATCATCCAGGTTAATGTCCTCCTCAACAGATTCATCGTCAATCTCCTCATCATCGATCTCCTCCTCGTAATCGCTCTCCTCGTCAGTGCTTTCAGTATCTTCGTCAGAATCGCTCTCCAAGTCAGTGGTATCCTCCTCCTCGTAATCGCTCTCCTCGTCCGTGCTTTCTGTATACTCATCGGAATCGGTCTCCAAGTCAGAGCTTCCAGTGTCGTCCTCCTCGGGATCGCTCTCCTCCTCATCGTCGTCGAAGATTTCGTCATCGGGGTTCTCCTCGCAGATTCCGTCGTCCTCATCAAAACATTCAATGTCACCGTCGGTCTCATCATCCAAGTCCTCCTCGCCGGAGAAGGTCGTGTCCTCGGCGGCGGCGATGTTGGAGTCGACGTGGTCATTGTTGCTCTCTGCCACGTCAGATATCTCGGCGTTCTCGTGCTCACCTCCGGCGATCGCCGGAGACACCTCGGTAATGTCCTCCTCGTCCTCTTCGGCTGCGTCGAGCACCGGAGCGTGAGAAGAAGCTGCGACGAGCTCGGAAGCTATTCCCGAGAACGCCTGGCGGTACGAGACGGTCTTAAAGAACCCCGGCGGCGAAGGCGAAGGTTGCAGTGGCACGGCCTCCACGGCGATCGTCGTGTGCGGCAGCGCCGCCGGCGTGTCGGCGCCGACGACCGCAGCGGCACGGCCGCGGACCTACACGACCGCGAAGCCGCTCTCGCTGTCGGAGCCGCCGACGTCGCTGCCGTCGTGGAGCTCCACGCTGTCGCCGTCGCTGTCGCTGAGAACGACCCAGTCCTCCATGGCCGGCGCTGCGCTCTCCTCCTCCTCAGCGGCGGCTGCTGCGTGCGTGAGCCTGAGTTCTCGGCTGCGGCGCTCGTGCGTAGATCGAAGTATCGAACCGATCGTGGTGAACTCTGGTTGGTGGGGTGGTGATCAGGTTTCGCTGTGAGGTTCAAGGCGGCGAGGAGCGCTGCGTATATAGGGGGTGGATACGGGTGTAGGATTCGAACTCGATCGGCGCTGTGTGCAGATGTCCGTTTCAGTTTCAGAAGAAAGAATCCGAGTTGATACGGAATTTCGTCGTTGGGAACACCGCAACAACATGAGCCGTGAGCGTGAGTCGGAGTTGGGATCGTTTTCCTGTGAGGCTGTGACCGTGACTGACATCTCCTTTTCCTTGAGTATTACTCCAGTTTAAGGACTTGTAACTTGTTTGTGTTTTGGGGATATTCGTTTCGTGTTGACCGTGACTGCAAGTTGTGGGAAGCGCAGGATTTTTATTTAAAAATATAAGTTTAGTTTTCCATCATTAATTTGCCTTTTAAGCTTATGACCGAAGCTAAGTTTATTAAAATAAATTACCCAAGTAACCTATACCACTATTGCTTCAGGTACAGAAACTGAAGAACTGAGTCTTGGTTAGCAGTTCTGATTGTGTTTGCTTATGATATTACTGTGTTAAAAAATACAATAAACATTCCAGTTTTGGAGACGGCGGCGATGCCACCGTCTAGCACCTGGTCGGAGGCAACATGGACGGGCAAGGGCTAGCAGGATTGACCACAGTCATGCATTAATCTCATGAGGACATGGAACGAAGAGGAAGAAGAGACTATTTGCACTGAGATTCGTACTGGACATGTGTCACGGAAAGAAGCGCGGTCTTTCAGATGAGTAAAGGACTGGAGTCCTGTGCAAAGGCTAGCTTGGGAATACCATGCCCCAATGGTTGTATCATGGTGAGCCCACAGTTACCTTTATTTTCTCCCCTCCCCTTTACTTTTTCTCGGCAATTGTCGGCTAATGGCAGTTAAGATAAGTGCAATGACACGGCAGCATTACTTGCAGGGAAAGCTCTGGTAAAAGCATAGACTTATACACACTCGGTACACATCCATATTGTCGTTTCGAGTTTGAACTAAATCATGCAATTTAACGAGCATCCACAAGACAAAGGCCGAATTAAGTTCTAAACCTTTTTCTTCAAACTTTCAACTTTTTCATCACATCAAAACTTTCCTACACACACAAACTTTCAACTTTTGCGTCACATCGTTCCATTGAACGTCACATTGTTTCAATTTCAATCAAACTTTAAATTTTGACGTCAACTAACACACCCAAAAACAAAGAAAAAAAAGTGACAAAGTAGCTATTCATTCTCCCACTGTTAAAGTATAGATCAACTCAACTGGCAAGTACCTCACCCAAAAACTATTTGAAAAACATATATTGAACTGGGGAAAAAGCTCATCTGATGATTAATATACACAATTTATTGCAGCTTGCGAGTTAAATTTCTCAAAATGGAACTTCACATCCACAAACTTACTCTTAGATCGAGTGATTGATCGCCATGCATTGCAGTAAGATTCGCTAAGATGACGATGCCATTGCCACTTCATGGATCAGCCGGCGGCTTCGCGAGCGGCGGCTCGGCCGCGAGAGCGGCGGGCGCGATCAGCGCGAGGGTGTTGATGTGCGCAGCGTGCTCCGCGCCGTCCCATGCCGCGTCGACCTCGTCCGGCACGGCGACCTCGCGCCGCCGCCGCGTCCGCGCGTCGAACGCCACCAGGCGCCTCCCTGCCAGCACCACCACCTCCACCTCCGCGCCCTGGAAACCCAGCAGCCGCACCCCGTCGTCCAGCCGGAGTGGTGCATTCGCCGCGGCGACAACAGCGCGCGAGCCCTCCTCCTCCTCCGCGCCGGACTCGTCGTGCTGCTGGGACGCCACGATCTCCGTGGACGTCGTCGCCCTTGCCGGCGGCGGCGGCTGAGATGGTTGCAGTATCTCTGCGACGGCGACCCTGGTGGTCACCTCCCAGATTCCGTGCTCGTGCAGCCGGAACACCACCACGTCGCCGCCGTCGATCACGGCGCAGTGGAGCATGCCCGCGGCCAATCCGATCTCCCACTGGTCACTGTCGCCGGGGCAGGTCACGAGGTCGACGCGCCCCGTGACAGGGGTGTACCCCACCGCGGTGCCGATGCTCGTCCGCCACCACGCCGTGGCGCCGGCCGCCACGCCCGACGCGGCGACGAGCCCTTCGGCTGGCGACATCGCGTCGGTGACCCACCACGCGCCGGTCCCGGACGTGAACACCTGGAAGCAGTAGGCGCCGGAAGAACCCGGCTCCGACTCGAAGGGGCAGACGAGCGTGAAGTCGCCGCGGAAGTTGTAGGCGCTCGTGTCGAAGAGGACGACGATCGCCGGGCGCGGCCAGGACCGCCACGGCGGGGACGGGACGGCCGTCCACGACGCCGTAGCCGGGTTGCACACGGCGTACGCGTCGTCGGCGGGGGAGAAGCAGCAGGCGACCCCGCGCGACGACGACAGCACGACGAGCTCCGACGAGGCCGGCACGAACGAGAGCGACGGGGACGGCACGGCGTCGTCGTCGCCGTCGAAGGGGAGGAACCCCGCTGATGGGACGAACACCCCGGAGACCCGCCTCGGGGCGGCCGCGTGCGCGACGGCGAAGAGCGGGGACGACATGTGGCTCGCCCACGACGGGTGCACGACGCGGAGGCGCGCCGCCGCCGCCGGCGGGAGGTGCACGAGCGAGTTCTCCCTGACCACGTCGGCGAGCGGCACCCCGACGAATCGCTCGACCGCCGCAGCCCGCTCCCGCCGCCGCCGCTGCCGCGACGCCTCGCGGGACTCTGCTTCGCCGGACATGGCCTCCTCGACCCGCTCGGACGCTGGTGGTCGTGGGGGAAGTGGACGGCTTGATGTGGGAATTGCACGGTGGTTTCGTGGTATCGTTGTCGTCGTGGTCGTCGTCGTGGTCGAGGCGTGTAAGCTATCGATGGGTTCGCGAGTGGGGGCACGGCCGGTGCGCGACTTCGTCGTCCACGCCCGCTTGACTCGTGCGAGAGGTCAATCTCTAAACCTGCACGTACGTACTACGTAAATTCCGGTGTGTTTTAGGTTGATGAAGCGCCGGTTTGCGCGGCCGGCCCGGCACTGAGCCACCCGTGATTTTAGATGTAAACAGCGATAAATTTTGGAAATTTAGGTGATCGATATATACGATACGTGCACCGTCTGGTTTCTTTATTCACGAAATTATCTCATAAGGAAACAGCCGTTCGAGAGTATCTCGCATCGCACACGGCCGCTAGATAAATCCCCGATCTCGTGTAATAATGGTATAGGCTGTGTTTAGATCTATGTGAAAAGATTTGGTGTGCCATATCTGATTTACGGACACACATTTGAAGTATTATATGTAGACTAACAACAAAACAAATTACAGATTTCTCCTGTAAACTGCGAGATGAATTTATTAAGCTTAATTAATCCATCATTAGCAAATTAATGTTTACTTAGCGCCTCATTGTTAGATCATGAAGCAATTAGGCTTTAAAAATTCGTCTCGTAATTTACACGTAATCTGTATAATTAGTTTTTTTTGCTATACTAGAAAAAAAATATCCGTGCGTTGCGACAGGTAAAGACTATTTCAATCTTATTATTATTGTTATATGAGTTAGTTAGGGTGAATTCACTCTGTTAAATTCGCTTGGATATATATTTTGTTAGAAAATAATGAGCTGCAACTAAAAGTTTGATTGTTTTAAGTTAGTATGCGAGTTTTTCTTAAAGAGATTTCTTATAGATTCCTTCTATATTTCCAAAAAAGAATAAACTTAAAAATCGACACAAATACGGATTTGTATTTCCAAAAGCGAACGAACTTAAAAACCGATTCATACACGAATGATGTACCAAAATACCGGCAAAAACATCTTCAATTTTCAATTTTTATAATAGTAGAGATAGAGATTTAATGTTTCATGCATATGTCTAAGAGAGATGCTCTGGTGCAATATACTTGAATTATTCTGCTTCGAGTAGAATTAATCTTAAGGGAAAAATTTTTGCTAGGATCTAAACAGGCCCATAGACTTCTTTATATTTGTTACCTTCAAACTCTTTTCCTAATAATCACTACTAGTACAAACAGGTAACCTGTCAGCCTGCAGTCGATCAGCAATCGTGTACCACGCTCGATCACACGGATGGCGTCGACGATCCTCCCGGACGATCTCATGCCTGAGATCGCCGTACGCTCAGACATTGTGTCCATAGTTCGTTGCGCCGCCACCTGCAAGTCGCTCCGCGGCCGCATCCTGGAGGAGGAATTCTGCCGCCGGCACAACAACGCCGCGACCAGTCTCCTCCGCGGCGTCTCCTACAGGTTCCGCTGTGATCTTAACACCTTTGTGGGCGTAACACAGGCCGCGTCGTCACCATCGTCCTCGCCTCTCCCCCGCTTCGACGCCGGTATCCTCAACACTTTCGAGCCCATGGTGTCGCGCGACGGCCTCGTCGTCGTCCTCGAGGACTACGTCTACGCCGGCCCCGACCGTTTCAACATGTGCGTCTGCAACACCATCACCGGCGACGTCACCTCTCTCCCTGCCATGGATCCTGCCATGAAAGTCAAGAGAAGGTTGATCTACCCGCCGGCGTTGCTCGACGTCGGCGACGCCGGCCGCTCGTTCGAGCTGCTCGTCGCGGACAACGAGCTGCACACACAGACATTCACATTCTCGTCCAAGGACGGCGGCGGCGGATGGGGCGCCGCCCGTACGATCCGCATGGACGCCGGCCACCGGAAGCCCTCCATCCCGATGCCGTTTCACCACGTTCCCGGCCGTCGTCGGGCGCGCCGTGCACTGGCTCGCCGGCACGGAGCGGTACTGGGAGCTCCAAGCCCACGGCGTGGTCATCTTCTCCCTGCGCGTCGACGCGGCGTGCGCCGCGACGATGGAGCTACCGCCGGGCTCCGCCGACAAGATGCTGGGCTGCAGGAAGGACAGCCATCAGCTCATGCTCGCCGCGTCGCGGGGCGGCACGGCGTTGAGCCTGGTCGTGGCGGAGCGCGAGCTGATCTCGGTGTGGACGTTGGAGGAAGAATCATCGGCGGCGGCGACGACAACGGCGGCGAGGTGGAGCCGGCAGGTGGTGATCACGAGGCTGGCGATCGACCGGAGCGCGGAAGCCGCGAGAATGTACAGCAACGTCTTCTTCGAGGGGTTCGGGGAGAGGAGCGGTGTCGTGCTCTTGCGCTTGCATCGTTTTGGGCTCGTGCAGCTCAACCTGGCGACGAAAGAGGCGCTCGTTGTGCGCCGCGTTAGCACGAGGTGGTCGGGCTCCATCTCCAGGGCACGCTTGCACGAGGTGGATCTGTACTCTTTGCTCCGAGCCATGAAACACTTCGATCTTGCGCCTGGCAGAGAATGAATTCAACTCTTTTCTGAACATCCTAGTAGCAAAATAATATGAATTTTTAAAGAAATTTTCTGATTAGTTATTAATTATCGCTTGTTCGGAAATCAGGACAGCACTATCAAGTATACAACTCTTTTATAAACCTCCTAGCAAAAGAATGATTTTTATTTCTTTTTATATAAGTAGAATTTGAACTTGCATACTTAAATGGTATATAACATATTAATCTATTATATTATTTTTTTAAAAAAAATATAGACTGTTTAGGCCCTGTTCAGATCCTCCAAAATAGCAAAAGTTTTGCCATTTTATAGCACTTTTTGCCATTTTGGATATAAACACTAGTAGCAAAAGTTGACAATTTGGCATTTGGCATTTGCTAGTACATAGTAGCAAATTGTGCCAAAAAGTGCTTTGGGACCGCTCCCTCTCTCTTTTTCTCTCTCACTTTAGTGCTAGAATGGCAAAACTTTAACATGCATCTAAACACCAACTAGGACTTTTACAATGCCAAAATTTTTACCACCAAAACTTTTGCCATTTACCATTCTAAATGGATCTAAACAGACCCTTAGATGATACATGAAAATGAGAGAATATTCGCTCGAGAGAGGAATAGACTTTCCCTAGCTAGATATACTTTTATAGGTTGGTCAAAAGATCTTACAGCCACAAAAATCGCTGACATGTTGAAAAAAAGGGATCGACTGACAAATAGCAAAACTGTACTCTGTTTTTTTAATTAATTATAACGTTCTTGATATTTTTAAAGATATGTTTAATCATTCGTCTTATTTAAAATATTATTTAATTATTATTTATCTTATTATGATTTGATTTATTATCAAATATTTTTAAGCATGATTTAAATAATTTTGTATTTGTAAAAAGTTTTGAATAAAACGGACTGTCATATAATAATTGTAGAAAAGTCAATGATGTCACTATTAAAAGACGAATGCTGTAGTATTTATTGTTTTTGAAATTCCTTGGACTTAACGAAACCATCGTTCGGTATAGTGTAAGCTGTATTTATCAGCCTTTACAAACCATAGACCAAATTATGTTTCATTGCTTGATTATTTTGGCCTAGTCAAACTCATGTGTATATCTGTTCTGAAGTTATGAAACAAAGAGACTTACTTTTGGATCCTATACTAGACTTTCAGTAATTTAGCAGTGCAGTAAAGAATTCGTACCATATATAGTTATCCTTCTATTTTATGATTTCTAACTCACTTTCATATTATAAGTCCTGTTGATATTTTTCTTAATCAAGTTTTTTTTAAGTTCGAGCAAGTTTTAAAAAGAATTAGCAATATCTACCGCACTAAATTAGTTTCATTAAAACTAACGTTTAATTTATTTTAATAATATGCTTGTTTTGGGTTGAGAATGTTTCTATATTATTCTATAAACTTTGTCAAACTTTTTAGAAAAAAAATCAAAACAGTTTTTAATACGAAACGGTTGCTACTCTCTCCGTTCCATATTACATACAAGTCGTTAGGACTTTTTCTTCAAACTAAGTCAAATTTTGATCGAAGTTATAGAAAAATTAATATCGTAACATTTTAAACCCTAAATAAATATACTATCAAAATATATTTAATGGTACATTAAATTTACTAGTTTGGTGTTATAAAAGTTATTATATTTTTATATAAACTTGATCAAAATTTGATCAAGAAAAAAATCAAGTGTTTTGTAATACGAAACGAAAAAGGTGTTAATCTGTTTTCCTATTCACCAAATCCGCGATTTATACCAACTGACAAAAAAAACAACCATTCTCTATGAAGTATCGCGTCACGGCCGGGAAAGCAATTCCCGAGCTTGTTACCTTCACGACTCATTTAATTTCCTCATACTAATACAAATGCGTCATATAAAACGGCTGGATTTCCATCTTCTTCTTTGTTTCTTCACCATCAACAATTGTGTCTTCTGGTGAAGGACCATCCACCTGAAATACTCCCTCCGTTTTTTAATAAATGACGCCGTTAACTTTTTCTCACATGTTTGACCATTCGTCTTATTAAAAAAATTTACGTAATTATAATTTATTTTGTTATGAGTTGTTTTATCACTCACAATACTTTAAGTGTGATTTATATCTTATACATTTGAAAAAAAATTTTGAATAAGACGAATGGTCAAACATGTGAGAAAAAGTCAACAACGTCATCTATTAAAAAACGGAGGTAGTACAATCTTGTCGCAATGGTTCACTGGGCTGCTGTAGCCGTGGGTTATGCTTCAACAACTCCCGGATTTGTCACAAACATCGCCGGCGTTGCTCCGAGAGACAGGTTGATCAATCTGATCTAACACTAATATTGATAAAGTAGCTAATTGATGCGGCCTCCTAAGAAAATTATAGGATTGATCTCATCTCTCCGGGGATGTATCAAGCAACGTTAGTCTAAGGCTCTAATATATCTATCTCTACTATTATAAAAATTAAAAATGTTTTTACCGGTACTTTGGTACGTCATCTGTGTATGAGTCGGTTTTTAAGTTCATTCGCATTTAGAAATACAGAAAGAATCGTATAAGAAACCTTTTGAAAAAACTCGCATGCTAATTTGAGAGGATCATATTTCTAATTAAAACTTATGATTTTCTAGAAAAATATATATTCAAACGAATT